GACAGGACTCACCTCCTTGGAAGTGTCTTCAGCAATAGTCTACCTCTTGAGAGCTTCAGCAGGCGGCTGTTGTTTTGCTTGAGAAATAAGATTTCTTAAAATGTTAAGGAAATAAGATGTTTACAAAGGTCACCAGGAGAGAAAAAGTCCTGGAGAGTCACTGAATAACTTGAGCAACACTGGGTGTCTCACACTGCACTCCCAGCCTGGGACAGAGGAAATGGAGCACAACAAGGCTCCTCCTATCAATGCTCACAGCTTTCGATTTCCTCAGTCAGAGAAACTGACTGTGTCCTTCCTGTAACGGCTTAGTAACCACAGAGAGCCAGGGCTCAGCTATGTTTACTTAAAAAAAAAAAAAAAAAAGAAGAAGAAGGAAGGAAAACAAATATTTATAGTTGAAAGACTAGAGACATTTGAACTTTCTGGTTTAGCAGACTAACACATGGGACAGGAGGCACAAAGTTCACTTAAATGAAGCTCAAATACCAAAGGGGACATGAAGGACCCAGTCACTTCTCCCTCTCCTCCTGCTCCCTGAATGACAGTAGCAGCAAGAGATCTTGATAGAGGTGTCTCTTGCTCTTGTGATGTTTCATAGATATGCCAAGAAAGAACGGAAGGGAAGGGAAGAAGGGATGGGATGTCACTTACCCTGCTAGGCAGTCACCAGACAATTAGTGATTTTTATCATCCTTGAGTTACAATATGTTTATCAGGTCCTTAATCACTCCTAGGCAGTCAGTGCTGTTCCAAAATTTGCAAGGCTTCATTATTAAAATGATCTAAGCCATTTATTCACGGTTGAGAAACAAAAGAACTCCTAATATTAGACAAAATGTCAGAAAAAACCTGCACGATCCCCATCCTCCAAAGTACTTTTCCAGAAGGTTTCACTCAAAGTCCCCGAAGAAGAGCTCCCACCAGGTTGAAACCATAATCCAGAAAAGGCCAAGATTCTTCTAAGAGAGGATCTAGATCTAAGACAATAATTGCACAAGCAGAGCAATTGTAATGTCACAGAAAAAAAAATGGGAGGGGAAATCTTGGGAGGTGTAGTTGAACCAGACTCTTCCGCCTGCTCTTTCTAAAGCCCAGAACAAAATCTGTTAGTATGTGAGCCTAAACTTCCCAAGGTGATGTACGCTTTCACTGTTATCTTTCATAAAAATCAACTTTGAGACATATTTATTTTCTTCGTATTTTTGTCAGATATTCTATGTGTAGAATTTTTCCTAGCTTTATTTAAAAATACTAGTGTTGTTTACTTAGCTCTCTCTTTTTTAACATTGTAAGATGTAAATTTACATCATTTGTATTACTATTCTCTTTTTTTAGTATAGACACTTAGCGATTTTTCTTATTGGCACTGCTTTTTCCTATGCTCTTTAGGTTTTGTGGGATGTGTATTTATTGCCCTTAATATTCTTTAGCATGTATTATTTTTAACTTACAGCTGATTTCAAGATATATGAGAATTTTCTAAATATTTGTCTTAACTTTTTAATCGGTCTTATAATTATGCAATCAATACTAAAATCACAAATATAGACTTTAATGAAACTCACTGTAGTTCCCTGCATACATTTCACTTTGATGTGCAGCTTATTTATTTATTTATTTTTGATACCAGGTATCGATCCCAGGGGTGCTTAACCACTGGGCCACCCCGCAGACCTTTCTTCTTATTCCATCTATCAGTATTGAGTTATAGGTTTTAAATATCTTAACTGTGATCACTGATTTGTGTTCTGCTCCATCTTATGTTGTTTGGTTTTGCTTTGTAATTGGGAAGTCCCGTCATTAGGTGCTTTTATGAATTGTTAGGACTTGGCAACAGATTCACTGAGGCATTTCCTTTTGGCATCGGTCTAAATCTAACTATTCTCTGACTCATGTCAGGACTTGATATGAGGCCTTGTTAAGGAGGATTTGAATAAATCCAAAGTTTTCTTAAACTCACTTGTTTGCAGGACTTCAGCTCTGACTCATGGTTGAGGCAGGTTTTAGGCTTTGTTTTCATGATAATCTCTACTTTGCTGCTTGGCCCTTACTTCTACCATGTACTCTGGCATGCCGCTGGATAACAGGGGTGGTGTACAGTGTGTGTGTGCATTTGCTCTCTTGTTCCTGTGTTGTCTTCTCAACCCCACAGCAGCTGCTCCCTGGTGGGCCTCATGTTATTTCCCTCACATATGAACAACCCAATGTGCGGTGAGTGGGCCACCCCGGCCTAGTTCCTTTCTGTCCAGGTATCTGCAAAGTGGAGCTCTGTCTATGTTCATGTATGTATTCCAAGTTTAAGAGAAAAAGTGCTAATTTGATCCAGTGACATTTTTCTGTGTCGGTCTTTCTTTCTTCTTCTTTTTTTGGTGATAGTGAGAATTGAATTCTACTGGGATAGCATTATACTACTGAGCCACACCCAAACCCTTTATCTATCTATCTATCTCTCTCTCTATCTATCTATCTATTTATTTATTTGTTGTAGATGGACACAATATCTTTTTTCATTTTTATGTAGTGCTGAGGATTGAACCAGTGCCTTGCATGTGAGGCAAGTGCTCTACCACTGAGCTATAACCCCAACCCCATCCCAAGCCCATTTTAAAATTTTTTGAGATAGGGTCTCACTAAATTGCAGAGACTGGCTTTGAAAGTGTGCTCCTTCTGCCTCAGCTTCCTGAGTGGCGAGGATTACAGCTTTGGCCAGTGCACCTGGCTCTCTTATGAGATTGTTAATAACACTCATCAAAAGGTAAATGTGAAGGAATGACCAAAGGCAGAAAGTCTATCAAGGAAATAAAAGCAAAAACTCTTCCAAACCCGGGGAAAGATAAATATCCAGATACAGGAAGTCACAGATCACCAAACAGATTCAATCCAAACCTTATTACCCCTCAGCATATTATGATCAAATGTTACAAATGGACAAGGAGAGGATTCTAAAGCAAGAAAGTAGAAGCAAATAACATATAAAAGGCAGAGCACACTGGTGCACACCTGTAATCCCAGCAGTTTGGGAGGCTAAGACAGGAGGTCCCTGAGTTCAAAGCCAGCCTCAGCAACTTAGTGAGGCCCTCTCTGTCTCAAGATCAGGAATAAAAAGGCCTGGAGATGTGTCTCAGTGGTAGGACATCCCTGATTTTATCTCCAGTACTCTTCACACCCTGTCCTCGGAGAGCAGTCACACTAAGAATGAGTACTCACTTCCTTTAAAGTGCATGTGAGGCTCAGGAATGAAAGTTCACATAGGAATAAATTCCACAGTCTTAGAAAAGAAAATGTAATAAAAGGGTGGTTTTTATTGAAACTCAAATGAAAGATCTTTCTTTGTTTCCCTATCAATAAGATCAAGAGTAGATTGTCCTATTAGTCATAGGACCAATAAATATGTCTCTTTAGTTTTCCTTCACAAGACAAGCCATTTGATTTTTTTTTTTCTTTTCTGATCATCCATAGTTTTTATCTGGAAGTATGAGCAAGACCATGCTTCATTCAAGTTGTGTTTTTCTTCTTTTTAAATTATTTTCTTTTTTTCCAATTAAATATTTAACCTATATGTAAACATACAAATGTTAAACATATTTGTG